GGAAAGATGAAAAGAGGGAAAGGAAAGGAAAAAAGGAAGGAAAGAAAAAGATGAACGCTCACAAAGACGACAAAAGCAGCACTTCATGCAGGGGAGAGGAAAAAAAAGGGAGTGCGCATGAAATGCACAGCAAGAGAGACCCCTGGGACAGAGAGAGTGTATCTGACAACAGTTTAATCCGACGTTAAGTTTTGAATTGGGGAACGGACACAAATCCAATCAAGCTAAATGGATCTGCCAGAGATATTCACAGAAGGCAAATGTTGGCTTCACGTTTCTCCCTGAATTTATCGGGGCCCCGAGGCAAATCTAAAGTAGTGTGGCAGTTTAAAAGCAAAAGTACAATGCAACACTTATCTTACAAAGATTGTAGCTAAGCTACCAGATCTTCTGCCCACAAAAATCCTTAATTGGAGAACGTGATTGATGACACCCAGCCTGTGAAGGTGCTTAATTGGAGAATCTGATTTATGACACACCCAAGGAGGAGGGGGAAACAGGGTCACGGATGACTGTAAATTACGGAACCCTGACAGTATTTATGTCTGAGCCTTTTGTGGGGGGGAAAGGGCGACACCATGTGTTCAATAAATATGGAATTATTTGTTCAATAAATATGGAATTATTTGAAGGACACTACTAGCAAAGCAGAGCAGATTGACGGTTTTCAAGTGAAAGCCACCTAGCTACCCCTAGCCGGAAGGGGCTACCTTTCCCCAGGAAGCGAGTCTTGTCATTGTCACGGAGTTCCAGGGCTTCGTAGATACCAGTTGACGCTCCGCTGGGAACGGCAGCACGGAAGAGACCTGTGGGGGGGGGGGGGGGGGGGGGGGGGGGGGGCCCCCGTTGGGTGGGGCGGAAGGAAAACGAACCATTTTCCCAGCCTCGGGAGCGAAAAAACGATTAGGAACATTTTTTGGGGGGACGGGGAAATTCTTCCAAGGCTACTAACCTCTGTTGGTGAAGACGTCTACTTCAACGGTGGGATTCCCACGGGAGTCGAAGATTTCACGGGCGTGGATCTTGAGGATGGACATGGTGTTGGTCTAAAGGAAAAAGGACAAGAGAAAAAAATGTTTTAATTTTCCCCCCCAAAAAACCCAACATATCCACATATTCTGGAAGCCAGGAATGTGAATTTTTCCAGCGAATAAAGATTTCTGGGCTTCTAAGGCAAGTGGCACATCTGAAAACACACTGAGGGCTAGAAACTTGGGGAGGGGAGAGGGAGAGAGAGAGAAAGAAAAAGAGAGAAAGAATGAGAATGAAAAAGAGGAAGGAAGGAGACAAAGGACGGAAGTAGAGGCAGGAAGGAAGGAGACAAAGGAAGGAGGAGAGAAAGGAAGGAAGAAGAGAAAGGAAGGGGAGGAAGGAGAGGAAGGAAGAAGGAGAGAAAGGAAGGAAAGAGAAAGGAAGGAAGAAAGGAGAGGAAGGAAGGAGAGGAAGGAAGGAAGAAGGGAGAGGAAGGAAGAATGAAAGGAAGGAGGAAAAGGAAAGGAAGGAAGAAGGAAGGAAGGGCTTTTCATTCATGCAAGATACAAATGCAAAGAGACTTCTTCCGGCATTCAAATTAAATATTGGCAGAAGGAATGGTTTGTCTGCTTATTTTTGTCCGTCCTCGAGACCCAAACTCTCCCTCCACAGCCTGGCCAGGAGAGGTCCATGGCCACATAGCCATTTCTTTGCAAATCCAATTTGCTCCCTTAAGGATAATGAACATTTCCCACCAGTGATGGAAAAGCAAAGAAACTGCCCCCTCTCCCATGTCTGAATTAAAACCAACAATCTTCTCTCTCCATTCTCGATTTCAATATTTATTTTAAAAAAAAAATCCAGGATAAATCCAGACAGAAATCCAGCCTTCTAAACAAAACCTTGCCATTCCATTATTATATTTTCATTTTAGGGTCTTTATGGCTCACACAGAGTTGCAGTGGATGATACAAACAGCCAGATCAACAGAATAAATTAAAACACTACGGATGGGCTGGTGAGCAGAACCTTTGCAACAAATACATCAATTGATTTTTTTTTTAAAAAAAGAACAGCTCCCATCATCCACAGCCGGCAGGGCACTCAGACCCGGGTTTATAGGGGCGGTAGTCCACCCATCTAATCCATAGATTAATCTGAGACAGAGTCCAGATTTCAGCTTAGCTAGGAAACAAACCATGCTGGTATTCATTCGTCCTCTGGATTTATTGAAGGACAGACTAAAAATAAACCCATTTTTGTTAATATTTTAACAAGGAAGGAAGGAAGGTAAATTGATGCACTGAATTTGAAGAAGGCAGACAAAAAAAAAACCCGACAATATAAAAACAATCCTGAGCTGGCCAGCTAAAATCTTTAAATGAACTGGAGAGGAAAAACAACTAATTCCTTGCAATTCCAGGTTTTGCCCTGTAGAGAGAACACTGAATATTTCAAATATCTCCCAACACGGCTTTACCGGCATAGAAGCCAGCGCTTTTGCGTGAATCTTTCCTCCAGCTAAGGTCACCTTCAAATTAAGCGCTGCCCTGAAAACACTCATGGAAAAAAATTGATTTTTTTTATTTTTATTTTTAAATCACGTGTCCGTTCCAGGCTGCGGGTGAATAAAATGGAGCCTCCCACACCTCCGTGCTCTTGGAAACCAAGCCTGCTCTCAAATGTCTTGGCTCAACCTGACTCAGCGTTTTACTTAACTGTAAAAAATAAAATTTATTACCTTGCAGGAAATCAAGTTCTGGAATCGGAATGTCTCAGTTTTTGCAAACGGCTAAACGGCTATGACTATCAGTGTTGTACCTTATGATTCTCTTTTATGTATACTGAAGAGTATTTGCACCAAGACAAATTCCTCGTGTGTCCAACCACACTTGGCCAATAAAGAATTCTTATCTATTCCGCTTCTCTCCAAATTAAGGAGAAATTTTGAATTTCCCAAGCCCGCTGAAAAAAGATACAAGCAACTTCCAAACTCTAGGAAACCTGAAGTCTCTTTTCAACCCCTGATGCTGGCTGGGAATTAGAAGTATTGGTGTCCATCACACCCAGAAAGGTTGAGGGAAGAGTTTCCCCATATTAAATATCTGGGAAGGCAGAAACTTTGCCAAGCCTGTTGCAAAGACTTTAAAGCAGAGGCCTGTGCGCCATTCACCGTTTGCACAAGAGCGTGCAAATGAATTAAAAAGGATGATTAAAAGCTAAGCCACGCAATTAGGACGTGACTAAACTTCTCCGCAGGGTGGGGAAATTTTGGCTGCGTGGCTAAGAATAAAACTCACACTTTGTAAAAAAAAAAAAAAGTGGCTGCATGGAAGGTTTTTTTTTTTAATTAAAAAAAAAACCTTTGAACATATGGCTGCAACTTTTTCTGCATTAGGCAGCAACTGTCCTTCCCATCAATCACGGACTGTCCTTCTCAGGAGACGGAAGTATGTAAGGCATGAAAGGCGGACCAGCTGCTCCAGGCCATCTTCATCTCATCATTTCCGCCTTAAGAAAGGGGGGGGGGCTCTGCACGTGGTTTCCCCCCCTTAAAGGAGGATTCCGTGGTCCACGTGCGAAAAGGATGCCCGCATCTCAGCTAGTCCCAAGCCATTTTACAAAGGCAGTCTGTTGCAAAGGCTTCGGAAAATGATGCCCAAATGATGCTCTGCAGAATCATCAACTTTCCCCCCGCCCAAAAAAAGATCATTTCCCCACCAAACTCAGGTCTCCCGATTCTTAATCTTGTAAGAAAATAAAAGGCATGAATAATATTTTGAACAAGGCCAATGAAAGGGGTTTCCCTTATTTTGCAGAAAATGTAAAAAAAACAAAAATCTGCAGGTTTTCTCTAGCTCTGGAATACCTTTTAATATGGGATTTTATTTCATTAACACAGGATTTATTTCATTAAAAATTAGGAAACGAGAGGTAAACATTAGAAACGGAAAGTATTATGATGTGTATTTGTTACATAAATATAAATTGCTACCATGAGGAAGTATATGCCATCCTTAGAAGCCGGAAGAGTTCTTAATACTTACATAGTATTAATATATTTAATATACTCAAATAGTATTATTGTTGTAAGTATTGTGTATAAAGTAAATTAACCCAGACAATAGGCTGTTCATTAAGAAACATTTTTTTTAAACCTGCAAGTTTTCTGTAGGAGTAAGAACAACAGGTTTGTTACCCCTCGGCCCCTCCTTATTTTTAACCCTTCTCTGCAGCCCTCCCCTCCTGAACAAAAGGGGGGATTAATCCATTTTTTTGGCTGCCATTGAAACCACAGGACCTAAGATACAGACAAAAAAATGGGTCTGGAGCATCCTTTAAAAATAAAGGTGTTTTTTTTCTGAAGCCTTTACAGCATCCTATTTGCTTTACAGGAGATGAAACAAAAGCTCTTTTTAACCCCATTTTTCAAGCTTGCTTTGATTTTAGCCTAGGTTTTTCCACCCATGCCTTCCACGCCTGTTGGGACTACTATACAACACTCCCCTACCTACATCAACTGTCAGGGAACCATTGATAATATAGTCCTGGGTTAACTAAAGGGCGCCATGTTGGGCTTCTTTGGACCACTCGCTTAAGGAAACTAGTTTCCCCAGGTGCCATGATGCAAACCTTAAAATAAAAAATATTAAATAAATGCCTTTTTTTTAAATGAATGATGAAATGCTGAAAATGGAAAGTGCGGGGTTCCCCCCTTTTGCTCTTAGCAAAATGCAAATCTTCGAAAATGTTTGCAAAAGGGACGCCCAAAGGCACACCTATTTCCTCTCCTTGCAAAAAAGGAAATGTCGAAACGTCTTAAACCAGAGTTTGCAAACGTCTGAAAGAAGATTGATATATAGATGTATATAACATTGCTGCAAAATATTCCCCCCCCCACTCCACATCCTCCAAAGCAAACGCTTTCCCAACTTACCTTACGCTAAAGCTTTCTCACGCTGAGCAGCACCTAAGGAAATAAATTGCAATAATAGTTTTTTGTGGGGGGTTGGTTTTTTTTTTGTTTTTTTTTTTTTTGTAATTAAAATTGAAGAAAATCTAATCACTCCAACGTTGCTCGCCTCGCGCAGCCCGGGCAACTAAAGAAGATGCGGCCGGCGCGCACTAAACTATAGCCCGGTTCATGCAGATGAGATGGCTTCGTTGCGGCTTTTCATTGGCCGGCCGCGCCGCCCTGCCGCCCGCCGATTCGCCAGCCGGGCCTCTCGCCAGCTCGGCCTCTTGGCGCGTGCGCTACGTGCTCGGGCATTTTCTCCTTTGCGCAGTCGCGTGGGTGGGCCGAATTCAGTTTAGTTTCCTTTTTTTAATTTCTTTAGCCAGAGATGGAAAAATCCCCATTTTTGTAAATCGGAGGGGAAGATTTTGAACCGGGCTTAATTTTTTTTAAATCTTCTCCATGCTGCGCATTGGACAGCTTGAAAACTGGAATAATTCTCTTGCACAGAAATCATTATCCAGTAATCCAAAGCTTAATAATCAAATTAATAACCAAAATAGGCAAAAGCTTCTTTATTCTAAATATCCAATATGAATAGTACAAAAGACTACAATTGAATATAGACTTTAATACATTTAACACTTAATTTTCATACTAATGAAAACAAACTTCTAAACAGGATCTGAAGTTTGTAAAATTGTAGCTTTAAACGTGATTTAGCACGTTTTTTAAAATCACAACTGGACGTGTTCACTTTAGTATTTCTCAATGTTTCTGTGCTAATGTTTACTCTGAAAGGGAACTACTATATAATAGAGACGGATATCTGTAAAATTTAAACCAAGGAAGTGATGTATTTAAGAATTCTAAAATGCTGTTTTCCAAACCCCAACTTCATTGCTTCTTTTAATGTCTATAAAAGTCCAGTTTAATTGCTTGTCTTAACACAGACAGGGTTAGACTTACCTGGTCAAAACTCATTTACAACAGATTTGCAAAAATTCTAATACTTCATGAGAAAACACATCTCTGAGCCTCTTATCTGGTCTAATTTGGCCCAAAACCCATTACTTTTTTAAAAAAGACCCCAAAAATATGCAAACTTCACCTTGGAAAAATTGAGTATTCTAACTTTTCTGACACATCCTGAACAGATTCACGTAGAAATAAAAAAACCACTTCCATCCTAGTCAAGCAAGATGTCATTTTACCTAAAACCTCGTGTCCAACAAATAAATCAATTTATGGCTTAATACCGGTAGGAAGGTTGAATTAAACCCCTGCAGTAAATTATGAATTGAAAAGAGACAGAAGTAAGTGGTATTCAGTCCTTAGTAGTTTCAGAGAAGGAATTTGGCTTCAGCCTTGCAATGAATTTCTAGTAGGAATAAAAACACCGAAAGTTCTCCCTTTGAGCAAATAAATGCTGGAATTATTTTGCACCTTTTTTTTCTAAACAATACTATAGCGCTCTGAGGCTACTAGTGTGTAGATGCACACAACGATTGTATTATTTTTAAGGTCATGCAGCCAGTAATTTTCTGTGAGCGTCTGGAAGAATCGCCGTCAGAATTGGGAATTTTGCCGACTTTCTTAACAGCCGACATCTGGTTCCAGAGGTGGTGGCCAGAAGCTACCTTGGTATCATCTGTGCCAGAGGTTTGGATGCTTTAAGGGGATGGTCCAGCGGTATCTTAGCTGGAAAAACTTGCTTTGACAGGCATGGTTCTTTGCATGCTGAAATACGGAATGCAGAATTGTAAAAAAAAATTAAAAAGATGGGGGTTTTGAACTCAGAACACCAGATTTGGAGCAAATCTGAGCCGTCCGCTGGAGAAAATCTGAATGTGACAGTATCAAAACACATGTCTCTTTGTCACTGAGACTGATAAGGTTTGGAAACCTATGGGTTGCAGCCCACGCTAAAAACCGACCTGTGGTTTATTTTTGGCTTGGTTTAGCCTAATCTGTAAGGCCAGCTCCTTGTGGCTAAATCCAAACCACAGTTCAGCCAAACCTCAGCTTATCAGGGCAAGAACTAAGTTTGCAAATGCAGCTAGATTTATTCACAAAGCCCAACAAAATGCACAAGCAGAGATCCAACTTATTTTCCAGGGCACGAGAATGCAAGAAAAGAAGCCACGGATGGAAACTACGGTAATCCAGGAGAGAAGTGACCTAGAATAAAAGAGATATTTCTTGACAATGACAACCATTAATTAACCAGTAGTTTGCCTCCAGAAGTGAGCTCTCCATCACTGGAGGCTTTTAAGAAGAGATTGGATAACTATTTGTCTGAAATGGTATAGGGTCTCCCCGCTTGAGAAGGGGGTTGGACTGGATGACCTCCAAGGTCCCTTCCAACTCGGTAATTAGTTTTGATAGGGCAGATAAAAAAAAAAAGGTTGGCAGCTGTTCAGAAGGAAAGAGGAAGGTTTAACGCTTAGGATCTGTCTTTTGTGATGTCACAAAGACAGAGAATATTAGCATCCATTAGGGGCAAAACTCCATAGCTGGTTCCATTTGGATGGCTCTTAGTCAACACTCTCCACCTTAATCCAGTCCCACATTTAATTCCTTTATATAAAAAAGCTGAAAAAGAAAAAGAAAAAATTAAGAGAGCTTTGCTATTCCATTGGAACAAGAGAGGATTGGGACCGGCGAGTAAGTATCCCTTGTGTTTAAGTGTACACATCATAATTAAAAGGGAATTTGTCTCGTGGTGGTAGTGTGCGCATTGCTGGGTCATCAAAATCTGTGCAAATCGTCAGCTCCTCTTCCAAATTGGTTTGCTTCCCTGGTTTGTGTTATTTTTCTTCTCCCAAACGTAAATTTCAGTGCCTACCTCCTTTAAAGTGAAGGGTTTCTATGTATTTATTGATTTTGCAATGAGTTCGATCTTTTTTTCTATTGTGAAAAAGACCCCACATTCAGGCCCCAATCTTCCTTGAGCCCCTCTTTGAGGGCACCAAGCCACGAATCTTGGTTTATCACTGTCAACAGGGCCACTCACACCCAATCCTACACAATTCCATAAATATTTAGAAATCCCTCTGACAAGCTACCAATTTCTCTCTTCTCTCTTGAAACCAAACGATAGCTTTGCCCCCTAAAACAATTATCATCTATAATTTATCATCTTCGATAGAACATTTTTTTACTCCTCCACCGCCTCTCCCTTCCATCTGTGCAGCCGAAAATGATCACATTCATTTCTGGAAAAAAAAATGTCTGGCTGGCATTTGCAAAGATGGAACAGGGGAAAAAACAAACCTCTCGTAATATTCAAATGAAAACTGCATTGTCTTTGACCAGGGCCAGAAACAACACACGACTCATTGGAAATTTTAAAAATAACAAAAAACTAAAAGGGGCTCGTTACACAACGAAGCTCTTTCCAGAAAATATGATGATTATTCCTTTGCACTCCTTTCCCCTTTCTCTGACCTGGCCAGTTGATTTTTATTTTTCCATTTGGAGAATGGATGTTTTCAAAATGCATAATTTTTAAAAAGGGTGGGGTTGATTGGTGTGCTTTGCATCTCAAAGAAGGAACGGGGTGTCCCAGTTAGAAAGCAGGTTTAAATTGGGCATAAACGAGGGTAGTTTGGGGGTTTGGTTTCCTGGATGTTTCCCCTGGGTTTTGAACCTTGACAATCCTTCAGGGTAAGAGGCTGTTAGGACCCTCCACACTAGTAAATTGAAATAAATAGAACAAACTTTTTTAAAAAAATGCATAATTTGAGTTTAGGGAAAGGGAGTTTTGCTTGGTAAGACTCAATCTCTACTCCAGTCCAAACTACAGGTAATCCTTGATTTACAACTATTGGTTTAGTGACCGAAGTTTAGAATGACATTGAAAAAAGTGACTTATGACCCCTTTTTTCACACTTACGACCGTTGTAGCATCCCCATGGTCCTATGATCAAAATTCAGATGCTCGCAGACCTATTTATGTCCCAGATTAACGTGAGCCCTTTTTTTGTGACTTCCTGTCTAAGCAAAAACAATAGGGAAGCCAGGTTTATTTAACAACTATTAGGAGCTTAACGACTGCAAGGGATCCACTTAACAACGGCGGCAAAGAAGGGTCGTAAAAGAGACCAAAATTCACTGAACCATCTTGCTGAGCAGTGGAAGTTTGTGGGCTCAACTGGGATTGTAAGTTGAGGACCTCTTGTACTTTGGACCTGAGTAGATTGGGCAAGATTGTCTTCTTGCAATGACCAGCCTGGTCTTTTAGTTTAGTTTACTTTATTGTACCTTGCACCTCGTACAATGAAATTAAATACCATCTTCGATGTACATTATGACTATGAAAATAAACACAAACACACACATCCTTAGTATTCTATACAAATATATACATCTATGTATTTTCTCCTGAAAATATCGGTGCAGCCCTGAACTTTAAGCCCTTACCTAATGCAAGACAGGCAATCAAAATGTGGATTATCACCCATTTGGGACTGTATTACAACAGACAGGAGGAATGGACTTTAAGCCCTGTGGAAATAAGGCTGAGGGAATAAAGATTTGCAGGATCCAATCTGGGTTGGTCCCTGGGATGAGAGATTTATTCTTCTAAACTCACAGATTCATTCTGTCTCCAGCATGCTTGCACTGGGCTGTTGTATGCATGGTAAATTTATATGGTGCCTGGTGTTAAAAGTGGCTTTTAGTTTTTAATTGTGGTGTTGATAGCCAGCTATTAAGTTGTTCATTGTTGTTTCCTTGGCTCCTAAGCACTTGGTAAACAGGTGATAAATCAGCATTCTTGCACCCGTGTCCTGATCGTTTCTCTGGCTATTTTTGTCCCTGCTCGGCCAACAATATGAAAAAGTTGTCTCTCCCCCCACCCCCGCCCAAAGAAATTAAAGTTATCCAACTTTGCATCTAGAAAGCTACCCCCTCAGGTAATGAGGGACCCTGATGCCTTTTCCTTCAAGGGAAGGGGTCGTTGCATAACTGCCAGCCAAGAGGGGATTGTAGCACCTGGAGGGAGCTGTCAGGATGCTTCCTTTGCCTGCTCATCAGGTTTGCAAGACGGGCTTTTAAGGAGATCTTCTCCAAAAGCTCATAATATGCCTGCGGCCATGTTGGGTTTGTTTTTTTTTTGGCTTGTTCTTCAAAGCGGCAGAATGTACAGAGATCAAACCCAGGGCCCCTAAAGGCATTTCCTAATCCTGCAAAATCCAGTTGGGTAAATAGTCCTTGAAAATTGCTGACTGAGAAATGCCAGCAATTCAGGCCAGCTCCCAGATTGCCCGGGAGACCCAAAAAAAAAAAAAAGGCAGAGAATATCGAGGCTCCCAAGTTGCATCAGGAAAGGTAAACACCTGTGTCTTTCTCAACCTTGGCAACTTAGATTTCAAGGCCCAGAATCCCCCACCCACCCAACCAGACCCTTCGGTTTTAATTTTGTTTGTTTTTTTCCAACTTGACCTCGAAAAAGACACAGCACAAAAAGAAAGAGGACTGAGGAGGGAAGAAGAGAAAAATTCCCTGGGAGCCTGCTGGCTGAGGAATTCTGGGAGTTAAACTCCACAAGTTGCCATGATAATAGAAGAGAAGAGAAGAGAGGAGAGGAGAGGAGAGGAGAGGAGGGGAGGGGAGAGGAGAGAAGAAAAGAGAGGAGAGGAGGAGAGAAGAGGAGACGAGAGAAGAGAAGAGAAGAGAAGAGAAGAGA